TCGCGCAGATAGTTCCCGACCACTCTTCTTATGTACAGGGGGACCTCGTGGTAGTGCAGGGCCTTTTCGATGCAGCTGAAGGGGAGTGTGTTAAAAGCGTTCGCTATATCCAATGATATAGCGAGAACACTCTCCCCTCTCCCCGCCGCCTCCTCTGACATCCTTTTCAGCTCCTGCACCGCATCCACTGTGGACCTACCCCTGCGGAACCCAAACTGGCAGGGCGCCAGATTTGGCCCAGTCTCCTCTAGGTGTTGGACGATACGGTCGGCAATGATTCTCTCCAAGAATTTGCCGACCTCGTCCAGCAGCACTACCGGACGGTACCCTGCTGGTTGATCCGCAGGTCTCCCCTCCTTCCGTAGCAGACAGAGCCTGCCCTTCTTCCACCACCCTAGACCTAAAAACTACCTATTTTTTAATTAGTTTGACATATCATCACTTTGAATTATTTTTATATCGACGAGCGACGTTGAAATGTATTGCGTGAGCCATTTAACGATGCGTCAAGCATACATAGAGTCCAGGCCAAAAACCACAAAAAAAAAACGTCAGCAACAGTTCGCCATGAGTTCGGCGTTCGCACAATTTCGCGCCCATATTTTACTATTCCTACTGTGGCCTATTTCCGGTTGGTTTGTTGCGGAATCAGTGTTGAATCTTTGCTCCTGTTATCTTGTAAAAACTAATTAACTGCGTATTAACGGTGCTGATTGCTGTTTGTTCTATGTTGCGTGCATTTATTTATATAATTGATTCTGACAGCAGCGAAAGCGATGCACATAGTTCTAGGTTAGGAACTCCGCCACGAAAACCTAGAAAAAGGCACTATGACCAAAAATATTCGAAATTATGGAAGAAAGACAAGGAATTTGCAGGTTGGCTTCAAGAAATTACTAAGGGTGACGGATATTTTTATTGCAAATCCTGTAGGTGTGATCTGAAGTGTGAGATGGTAGATCTACCAATTTTGCATTTTACATTCTACCAACTTCTACCATCATTTGGCACATAATCTACTATTTTTCTAAAATTCGGGTTGGCAGCACTGGTGATGATTGTGAATGAACCACAGATTAGAGAGAATTTTTAAACTCTCTAACCAAAGAAAGCTAAGAGATTTAGGTTATTTATATAGCCATATATTCAGTAGCTTCATTATTTTTGTTATGTTTTTAATATAACCATATTTTAGATTTTTAGTGTATCACACCTTATAATTTTATTTATTTATTAATTTATAGTCAAGTAACATAGGCCCATAGATAGATACCTTAAAGTCTAACATGTATACTGATTATAATGTGTTTATGGAGGCGTTTGGCGGAAAATGTATGGCAATAGACTTTATGATGTCGCCTATCATCTATAATAATTGTCTGAGCACATTTGCATGTAGTGAAAATGATAATATAGTTGTGGATATTAATACCATAGTGTAATAAAAAAATGATTTATTTTATCGATCTTTACAAAATAGATTTGTTTTTATGTTATATAAACAACTTCGAACAGTCTTTGGCTGAATGTTACTACACCCATAGCCATTAAAAATGATTCGTATGTTTTCCAAACCGGTAACATTAAAAGTCCTTTTTAAAGTAAATATATTATACAAAGGTGTCCGTTGAAATTTAATGACTGTAAATTAAATTATAAATTACGCCAAGAATTACTGTGTATGTTAATATTTTTTGTGCGTTTGGGCCAATTTGAGCAATCTCCTTTATTGATGAATTTTATATAAGTGCCTACCTAAATTTTGCATCTCTTTTTTATTTTAATGAACATAATACATATGTCGAGTGCCGTGATCATCAGTAACATGCTGTATTTTTGAATCCTGTGTGTGTTGAACGGTAACTGTAATTTTTTTTAAATGTCGACTTATCATTCATATCAGAATCTTTTCCAGTTATATTTTCTTTAGATTTAAACATCAAGCAATTACATGCAAAAAAATATATATAATTATCAAGTTAAGTTCGTTATGCTTACGCAGTTTGGAGAAGCTCGACGATGCAGGTGGTTAGCGCGATCAGACTGCGATCGTGGAAGTTAAGCAACTTTTGCAATAGTCGATCATTGGATGGGTGATCAAACACTTATTATCTCGAGCTCCTCTGTGCTTCGAAAGGAACGTAAAGTCGTTGCTTCTCAATGCATATACAGTCGTTATCACCAGCTCGCATTGAAGCAACGGTCATGGCCCATTCTCATCATTCGATCCATAAAGAAGCACCTGCCACTAAAATCTGAATTAGGGGCATTAATTAAACGGATGATAATTATAAAAAAATAACAATTCAATCACTCATACCGTTTGCAATCTTGAGACCTTTGCCATGCGGACAAAGGGACAGATAGACAGACTGACAGTAACAGGGTTCAATGTTTACCTTTTGGGTACGGAACCCTAAAAAGGTGTTAGGTTAAAATGCGCTCTGTGTCAATTATCACCTCTTATATTACAACGGCACATAGAGATAGTAATGCGATATGGCTTTTTAAAATTAGCTTGAGCTAATATTTTCATACACATGATTTTATTGAGCACTCATCAAGCTAATCATTACTTTAATGACATACACATGCTTCTCATTACCTTCATGGCCCTTGACACTTAATAGCAAATAACGCTTGTCTCACACAAGCTCCTAACAATCCCCAACTCCCACGCACACAATCTATGAATTATGCAATTTATGCTTTATGTACCTGATCATTTAAATACATGTGTTGATATTGATATCCTATTATTTGGTTTTGGCGGGTGCGTAATTAATAGACTACTATTAATGATCCCTTATTATTACTCGGAAGGTCTTTATTAGGTACACGTATGTCATGCTAATACTCCCATGCTAACTAAACACGGAGTAAAATGCCAGCCAGTAAGAGGCATGGTCTTTCATTTATCGTGAGGTTTGAAATGGTGATTCAGAATTTCAGAGACTTTTGTAGCCAATGTGCTAACACTAATGATCCAAAAAACTTATATAAAAATATTTATATTTTCAGCGTAAATTTTATACCTATAGATATTATTTTCCAGTGTAACTTTCTCCGTTTTTCTGAGAGATACATAGGCTTCTAAGTATTTCTTAATATCCATGCTTCCATACTAATATAATAACTGCGAGAGTATTTCGGTCTGCCTATCTATTACCTCTTCACGCTTAAACCGCTGAACCTATTTGTATAAAATTTTGTATAGATAAAGTTTTGAGTCCCGGGAAAGGATAGATTTTATCCCAAAAATCATCCTTTCAGGGAGTGCAAAGGAGAGTGGAAATTTGTATGGGAAAACAATTTTTTCACGCAGACAAAGTCAGGCACCCACTTGTTTAATATATTTCCCTTTTTTCAATTAAAAAAAAATCTTAGTCTACTTCATACGGCCACAAAGTAACAGTTGATAATTTCGATGTTCACATTGTTACAGGTGTGGGCATGTGGCGCACTAGCCGCCTTGGACGGCTACAGTGCTCAGCAGGACTCTGATCAGTTCCACATTCAGACAGACGAAGATGACGAGAGGTACTTCCTTTACCAAACCCACAATGGCCAGTACCGCAAGGAGAGAAGGCTAAAGGACGGTTCCGTTGTTGGTCAGTATTCGTTATTGATTCTATAACTTCGAATTCGATTTTTGGTACACCATTGATGTCGATTCTTTCATGATGATCTATACTTAAACTAATTTTTTACATCAGGCTCTCCTTTCTTTTTTTCATTCTATATTGACAAGAATACGCTGTTGTCAAGTTTAGGTTTAGATGATCATTCTTGAATCCACACTGTTCTCTCTCTTTGTGCCTCTTGCTGCACATGGGATATGGACACAAAGAACGTACGGTGAACTCTATCTGTGAATCTATTTTCTTTTTGAATTCAATCTTCAAAATCCAATGAATAGATTCACACCACACAAGATGATTGGGGTGTAGTTAATATTCATAAAACTACAGAACAAATATAATTTCTAATATTGAAATATTTGTTTAATTCAGGTACAACAGGATGGGTTGGAGCAGATGGATATCTTCGCCTTCAAGACTACATAGCAGATAATGATGGCTATAGAATCTATAAATCTAAAACAGTTTACGTTGGACAAAACCGACCAATTGGGGTACGTTTCTTTGTATACGTAATCAGCGGTCCCTTTTACATTTACCTTTTCACAATTCATCCATCTATCTCTCATTAAAGGGTCATCCACATTCATATTCGGTATACTCTTAGTCACATGCCTCTTATAATTATTACCTAATTACTTTACATCTTCTAATTACATGCCCATATCAGAACAATCAGAAGCCGAAGCACGAGTTTTGACAGCTCCGTAAAGTATCGTAATCATCAAAGTTTCTATATAAACTAAGCAGCGGACTTAAGAACAAACTAGCTTTTCCATATAAAATTTTACGATTACGGAGCTGTCAAAAACTCATGCTTGGGGCTCAGATCTTATTTAACCTTCACTCTCAAACTTCCCTCATAATTTTGCCTATCTTCGTTTATTTCTCGTCACATTTATAGAACTTCTACAGTTATACTTCTTATATCACTGCAGTATGGTTTCGGGTTTCAATCATACAATCTACTTCTAAAAGTAAAAATATTTTTGTGATTGATTTTATAAATAGACAAATTCTGCACAATTCTTGGTTATCGTTATAAATGACATTGCTCGTTCCCCATACATTAAATGCCCTAGAACGCACAGCAATGAGAAAATGCTAGTTGTGTTTGGAATCATTCATAAACTCTAATTAGGCATTTGTTGAGATACGGACAACTTGAGAAACCGTGGCCACGGTAATAATATCATACAGTATTCTATCTTCATACAAACGGTCGGAAAGCGAGTCATACCTACGTCACTCGAGTTCGAAGGGCTCTCGGCGGGCACCCAGTCGCGAATGCGCCGCCGCGCCGCAACGACGGCCGAACTGTTTTTTATGCAGTTAGCCGTGCTTAAACGTGCGTTTTGTATTTGATTTAATTAAGTAGATACCTACATAATTTAGTATGAAAAAGAACAAACGACGATCAATATCGTACAACAGCACAATTGCTATTTTTGGTTGCTTGAACTCTTCAATAACACACCCAGAGATTTCATTTTTTAAATTACCTGAAATATTGGAAAGGTGTCTTACCTTTATAAAATATTTTTTATATACCTATCTACTAGTACGTAATTTGTTTCTAATATTTAGATATTGCGATTTTTCCATCGGGCAAAATATCTGGAATAATATATAAATAAGTGGTAACTGGTAAGGGTGAAAAAAGAGACAAACGAGTAATCTACCTACACTCGTGTTAAAAACAAAACTACATAAAATACTGTAGGCGGGCGGCCCTACCGCGTGCTAACGCAGCGCTCGGCCGTAGGCATTTATTTCAAGGACAGGGCGGAGTCACAATACTGTATAGATAATATTACCGTGCCGTGGCCTTCTACAGAATGTAATAGATTTTGAGGTTATAATTATTATACTTAATGGTAAAAGATGTACACTTTATTTATTCTGAATAGATTTAGTGTTTACCTCTATGTAAGCACTTAAATAATATGCATTAAATGAACATAAAATGCAATTAATAATAAAAATAATAAATGCTTATATTCATATTGATTTATGAGTGTTGGCAGTTGGCACCTATGATACCTATATCTAACTGTAGTAATAATAGATTTCTTTTCAAATGAAATGTTCAAAGTCTTTCCATTTATCTGTTTCTATATTAGGTATGTACCTGGTTATCATTATGATTTTCTAAAAATAAAGAGATATATTACATGGGATGGGAGTATAAACTATCTTTACATAATTTCAGAAATAATCTTTTAATAAATATAATATAAATACTAGTGATAAGTATTATTAACTAAGGATTAACTAAGGTACCTAGTTCTATTCTTATGTTGATAAATACCTATGGTCGCCTATATTGCATTTATTAAGGTAAACAATCTTGGCACAACTTTTTAACAAAATCACCCATTTAAAAATAAAATATTAACGAAGCACTATTAAAATAAATCGTTATTATAGACTGAAACCTATCGAATCTAGTTATCAGTTGATTTTTAATGCTGTATTTTCAATAAAAAGGAGTGCCAAGGTTGTTTACCAAATAGGACAAGTTGGATGAACAGACTGTAGTATCTAGTAACAGAACTATTATTTTTTATTTTTTTAAACAGATCGTCCGTTTACTATGATTAATTGCTAATAAGTTAAAAAAATAATAGAAAATTAATAGTGAAGGACTTTCTTTTGGGCATGCTAGGGCCGATTTCGTCTATGTCCTTTTCTCAGTTGCCTTTTTTTTATTTGCAGGAGTCAATAAAGATTGCAAAAACAGCTCCAACTGATTCTGGATACGGGGTAACACCTGCACCTGCGGTACAGCGTACTGGTGGACCTTCAATTGTCACCTCAACCACACAAACACCCTATTTGCCTTCCTCTACTCTCGCGCCACCACATTTCCCTTCTGTAGTGTCCATTACCCCACCACCGAGGTCTTACTCGAGTCCATCTTCAACTCCAAACGTCTATGTCTCTCCCAACTCTATCGATTCGTCGACGCCACAATACGACTTCAGACCAACAGTGTCGCCAATTACAGCTAGCGAAGCGACACCATCGTCTAGTCCGTACGACTTTGATTCGTCAAACACCAATACGGTTGATGATGGCTATTACGCAAGCGATAGCAGGCGGTATGATGTGTACAATCCGAATTCTTATAGACATTCAGACGCATGGCTCCAAAGACAACATCAGCCTTCGTATCGAATTGGAAATGGTTACACACCACAGTTCCCTGGATATGACGGCGTAGCTTTTAGGAGAAACGGTTTCCGATATTATCTTCCGAAACAATATCACGAAGAGGAGACTGGACCAGCGAACGATAAAACGGGCAGCTTCGGATATGTTGATCCGTTTGGTATCCGTAGGGTTATTTATTACAATACGGCACCGGGTGAAGGTTTCCAAATTCGAAAAAATAATAGATACGTGGGTCATAACGCGACTCCGTATGATCCAAGACCAATCGATTGAAAACTTCCTCATGTTGTATATCTACGTTAAAGTTACCTGTGTATTTATTATGAGAAAGATCAGTATTTTTAGCTATGTGTAAAATGGAGGCAAAACGACTTATTCTAATCGAACGAAGCGAACTTCTTAGCCATTGTTTACCTAAGTGGATATGATTTATATGACATTACATAATTCCTTTATCAAGAGTTTAACATTTATTAAGTTTTATTTATAAGATCTTCTTATGTGGACCATCAAGTTCAGTGCCATTGTGCAGTTACGCAAATAGTTTTAAGTATCTTTAATAAGTTAGTTAATATACTTTCTACGGATATTACTTGCGGATATTAATTTATTATACCTTTGTATAATGTAGCAAAATTATTCTGAATTAGCTATAAACTTTAAGGAACTGGTCGTTACTAGACTATATTGTAGGTAGACGGACATTGAACCTCATACTATCACAAAATGATCTCCTTTTAAAGTTTGAGCGTAGGTGCTCAAGTATTAGTAAAGCCTTTTTCAAATAAATTAAATAGCTCTTATTTAAATGAATACTTAAAAGAGATAAAGTTTGAATAGAGTTCTTTCGGAAGGACTGTAGAATTTCCATTAACAAATCAGACAATTAGTTGACTTCACAAAATAAAATCTACCTGTAAATCAATGCTACCTATTCATACAAGAAATTCTGTCCTCATTACAAATACATATACGATGTTTTGAAAGTATATTAATAGTAAAAATTATATCAAATATTTTTCTAACTCTGAGGTGAATGTTAAAAAGTTACTGCGATAACTTGTCATTTACCTAAACAATGTTATTAAAGTAATGTCAACATTCTAATGTCAACTTGTTGCAGTGACTACACTGGGGTATTAATTAAAAAAAACTTGTCTTAATATACTTTAAGTAGAATTAGAAAATGTGTAATTTATTTCACTGTGTAACTCATAATAATTATTCTATCTATATTTTCTTTGCACCATGTTTATGAAGACTAATTGTTATTTAATTATTTGTGAGTAATAAATTAATTGTTTTAACAACAAGTGATCTTTGTATAATAATAACTACATATTATTCCAACCTAATTGCGAATAAATCGATGTCATAATACCATAGAATAATAAATTCCTAATTTGCCCGTAATAACCGAAAACCTGTCAAACAATGTTAAATGTTGTTTATTAGTAGGTATACGAAATGTATTTGCCTGCATTAAAGTATATAAAGGTAATGCGAAATCGAACTTTCACAGTGTACGTTCGTATCAGAAAAGGTAAACATCCACACATTTTTTTTTCTTTTTAAGCAATTGGTAAAGTTATAATATCTTAGAAATTTAATCATCTTTTTTACAGAAAATGTGGGGCCTTTCAATAATCTTGCTGCTTGCCACAGCAGTTTTTGCTCAACAATATGAAGACGGCCAGTACCCTTCGAATAGACCAATGGATATCAATGACGACATTTACAATAGAGACATATCTCACAAAGGCCCACCCCCCGATCGGTTATTCTTCAACTTCGAACAGAGACGCATCGACCAACCGCCGCAAGTGGAACGAAGAGACGAAAACCTCAGACAATACATGGGACGCCCTAGAACTACACCTGTGCCGGTACCGACAAATTTTCCTGAAGTGAGACAATCATTTACGACCGCTCCGCCCGTGCCTTATGATCCTAGCAAATGGGGTCCGATGGCTTCTCACTTACCGGCGACTTTACCTCCTGCGCCGACGATGCCTAAGTGGATGGACTTGTCTAGTCTTGGTCAACAAGCACTGCCACAGCAGATGCCAAGTAAGCATCGTTCAGAGTATTACGAGCCGAGTCTCCCTGCCCAGCAGCCTTTTCGGCAACCTATGTCAGCGGAAGAGTTTGTGCGCCCTAAGAGCAGAGGTAGCCATAAGTTCGATTGGGCTGATGTGACGGTTCCTGCGCCCCTGCCTGTAGTCTCGACCACTACAGTTGCCTCGGTCCCAGTTCAAAATTTTAACAACCCACCGTCAGCTTTTCCTACATTATCGCCGTGGCACGGCGACGCTTTCGGTAAATAAACATGAAAATTAATCGGGACCCATTAGATATTCATGAATACATAATATTTTTCAATAATGGGTCCCGACTGTTAAAGTACCTTTGTACCTTATTAACAGAATTATAGACTACTGGACTTGTTTTTTTATTTTCAGTTTTTATTTGAAGTATAATTAAGCAGTCGGGTTTTTTGATTTTTTAAATTTACCTTTTTTATTTCACACTTTTTAGTTAGATAGTGGTGTCGATTCTGGCATGATTCTCTTAATCTAAAGTTAAATTTGACAACAGTGTATCCTTGTCATTCTCAATACAGAATGAAAAGGAGAGACTGATGTTAAATTTAGTTTTAAGTTTAGAGAATCACGCCAGAATCGATACCAATATTTTAAGACGGTATATACCGTAGTCTTGTTACTTCAGTAAGGGAATTAATATCGCGGGAATTATTAAGTACCTTCCGGTGGTCTAAAAGATTGATATATTAAGACTTAAAAAGACTTTACCAGCGCAGCGGGGTCAAGGCTACAGATGGGCCTCAATTTCTGCAAAAATATGTGAAATTAAATCAAGTCGTTACATAAATATCTAATGTATGTAAATTTTATAGTAAACTAGCACTTATTTAAAAAGTCATCTTTTCTTTATGTTCTTTTTAGTAGTTTAGCAGTAAATTAATATTCATTTACTTTTATTCGTCGACTATTTGAAATTGGCAGTGGCTGCATTGTCATGTCAACGTCCGGCTCTCGGATTGTGATATACACAAATGCAGTGTCATATCCTAGTCTCATTTCTCTCAATTTGATATACCTACATAATTCACAGAAACCCAATATGTAGATGCCAGAAGTTAATTTCAAATGTTGTTAATCACCCTTTATACAATACCAATCAATGACGTTTATGTCGCTATAAGAAGAAAGCAGTAATTCTCGTCTGTTGTTTTGGACAATGGTGGCAACTGCCTTAGATCGCTAAATTAAATAATTATGCAATCACCAAAGCAAAGTTTATAATATTTGATTAAACTAAAGGCGCATAATAAGATTTTCATAACGTTAGGTAGAGCACCATAGCAATCTCATTTATTATCAATTTATAGTTCTCTTTGTAGTTTTCTTTTAAAGTGAGACTTTATGATCGACCCTTTTTTATTAGTAGTATAAATCTCGAATGAAGAATACTTCCACCTATCAAGCGTGCTGCTACCAGCCTAGTAGTTATTGCAAATAGTGCAATCATGGCAATTATTTTCCAAATATTTTTTTGTAAAAAAAAAATACCGAATAACGTTTCACTTTTAAGTACAAATGCTAAGTAACTTTTACAAATATAATCAAATAAACCTATTACTTACTTTATTTTTAAATCTTTTTCATCAATTAAATACTATTATCCTAACTATCTATACTATAGTATTATAGATGCGAAAGTGAGTTTGTTTGTTGCGCTTCCGCGCCCTAATAGCTAAATCGATTATAATGAATTCCCTTACAGAAGTAGATGGGAACTTGGTTCTTAGCTACAACATCGCAATACTTATAGGCGTAGGGTGATGAAAGGGGTTTATCTATAAAAATTCTATATTATTTACTTTGAATTTTGCAGAATTATCGTTTTTCGGATTCCAATAAGTATGTCCCTACTAGCGAAAACTGGGTTATTTGTCATTATATTAAGTAAACCATTTTTGTAACAATAAGTAATATCGTTTAAAAAAAACAGTATAATTCTGAGTTTTTCATTAAAATTCAATAATCATAAATACCTATTATGATCATTTATTTTTCATCATTTAATAAGAAGGAACTGTATCACAGTTTTATTGTAAGTACTTCGTATAGGATCAGATACTGCGAGTAGCCCCTTTTTTCAATTTCGCCTAGGTTTTACCCACGTTTATAAACACCTAAATTAAATTTCTTCTCTTAGTATTCCCGCAGTCTACATAGTACACCGCGCTATCACTTTGTCATCGTTGTAACTTTTTAAATATTAGTCGAAATGACATAGTGTAAAGGCAAAGTTTATCGTCTTTAAATATCAAAAGCGATAAAAGTATTTGTTTTGATAAAAAATAATTTGTTAATACAAAATGTGTATTTTGGAAATAGATATCAAATAATATTTTAGTTTTGATTCACTATTTTAGCGGTAATGGCTTACACATTAAAAATAGATATATGGTGTCACGGACTTTTTTTAAAACTATTTAAGTTACATTTTCATTCTACATTACATTCATGTGACATAATTGTTTTTGCAGTGCAAGCCAAAATAGCTGGCAGATGGGAGATTTTTATCCGTCTTATGTGACACTTATTGTTATATTTTGGCCAATTCACTCAATAACTACATAAATTATTATATACATGTTATTATCATATATGAGCTATATTAGTGTTAGGTTTCATTAAAATCCATTCAGTATTTTTTAGGTAAAAGTGTAAAAAAGATCCATACAAACGTAAGATTGAAATTAAAGGCGCAAGTGGTTAATATACAACTTTAAAGCGTTGTAGATCCTAAACAATCATATAAAATTAAAAATGGTGTTAGGAACCTAAACATGATTTTCGATTAACTAGACAGTGATACCCCACTCGACATATTTTGTCAACTTATTTTTTTTTACTTCGTCACAATATGGCGCCTAATTTTGCCAAATTGAATTTTAATTACTATCATATCTTTAGTAGCACTGCCATGATTGAGACGAATCGATTGATGTATGAATTATCAAAATCGGTCCAGGGTTTTGGTCTCTAGTGTGCCACAAAGGAACAAACATACATATATAGACTGTTAAACACTATACCCTGACTGCGCGTCGCGCTTCGCGCTCTTGCATCGCGCAGTCGGGTAAAAAAGGGTATTTACTTAAATGGTTCAAATAGCAGGAATCGCAGAGATAGCTGGCTTGCAAAATTATTCTTACTAATACTTATAGATTTCTTTCCCCCTCATTATATTATTTGTATGTGAAAAACTGTGACGTACAAGCGTATGGCTTGCCTAATAGTACGTGAACACGAACACTTGTAGACGCTTGTGATACCAGAGTATTATTACTCGCGCGTCGCCTACCTCGATTTGACTCTATTCCCTATCCTGTGGAACTAACTTACAGATAGAAACTTTTTTTATCAGTTCGTTTAGCCCACTGGTAGAATCTGATACTGTTTATAAATAGTCGTATATAATTTTTGTGTGCATTCGAATGGGTCACTGAATGGTATAGATGCTCAAATGAGGAGCTGGCATATAAACAGAAATCAATATATATTTTCATTTTTTATTTTTTAAGTATGTAACTGCTTGATGTTAAAATCTAAAGAAAATATAACTAGAAAAAAATCCACGCGGACCAGGCAGCAGACGGGACTCGAAACCGCACCCTTCTCTATCCGGGCGAATGCACTGACTAATTATTGGTGTAGATTCCGGCGTGATTCTCTATACTTAAAAGTAAATTTAACATCAGTCTCTCCTTTTCATTCTGTACAGAGAATGCCAAGGATACACTGTTGTCAAATTTAAGTTTAGGTTTAGAGAATTATGACAGAATTGATACCTTTATTATGATTAAGAGGAGCTCGATGGCGCAGGTGGTTAGCGCGTTCGGCTACGATCGTTGAAGTTAAACAACTTTCGCAGTGGTCGGTCATTGGATGGGTGACCAAAAATCTTCTATCTCGAGTTCCTCCGTGCTTCAGAAGGCACATTAGGCCGTTGGTCCCGGCTGCATCTGCAGTCGTTAGCACCCGCCAATCTGCACGGGGCCCGTGTAGTATGCCATGGCCCAGTCTCCCTATTCCATCCATAGGGAAGGCCTATGCCCCAGCAGTGGGGACATTAATAAGCTGATGATGATGATGATTATTATTTAATTCACCATAATTTATTGCAAGATCAGGCAATTAAAAAAAAGGATGGTTAAGTTGCTACACGTTTTAATATTTTGGTGTTTCTTTTACTATTTCTTTGCAATGATGCGATAGCGTGGGGTATCGATATAGTAGGTAGGTAAATCGTAACTGATGCGATATCTAGCTGTTTCTATTGCTGGCACGGATGTGGGTGGCGGCTTGGAGAAGATATTCGGCAAACTAAATGGGAAATTGATTTGAGGTAAGCTGATATGCGGAGACGTGAAAGGTCTATTTGTCCACCAGTTGGTAATAAATTCAGGTATATTTGGGACCTCAAGTTTAACAACTACAGGCTTTTTCGGTACTTCCGGTTTTTCCTCTTTAGCATGTTTTTCAATTTCAAATTCTCCCTCTTTATCTGTTTCTACCACTTCATCTTTGACCTCTTCCTCGTTTTGTTCTTTGTCCTCTTCAAAGTTTTCCTCTATTACCTCAACACCTTCGTTTTCGTCTTCCAATTTCTCCTCTTCCACTTCATCCCCATCGTTTTCCTCTTCCAATTTCTCCTCTACCACTTCATCCCCATCGCTTTCCTCTTCCAATTTCTCCTCTGCCACTTCATCCCCATCGTTTTCCTCTTCCAATTTCCACTCTCCCACTTCAACCCCATTGTTTTCCTCTTCCAATTTCTCCTCTACCAGTTCAACCAGTTCGGGTTTCAAGTCGTCCTCCTTTAATTCTTCGACAGTTAACGCCTTGACCAGTGGCAATGGCACCAATTTAGGGGCTTCTGGTATACCTGGTACCGGTTTTTCATCTGCCTTAACTATTGCCAGCGATGGATAGTATAAGCCTGACTCCAAGTTTGCTTGAGGCACAAACAATGTGGGATGGCCTAAAGTTCCAACCGCCAAACACAGTATACCAAGAAACAACATCTGAAAAAAAATATATATATATATATATACTCATTTAAAATCAATTTAAATTAACGATGAATATCTTTACTTACATACCTTATAGCTGTCAGCTACACTACAATGTAGATGTGGATACTGATATCACCTTTATATAGTAATTAAAGCACCTCAGAGTAACTGTAAAAATAATCTAAAACAAATCAAGCATAGATTGCTAACTAACAGCGCATTTATACTAACTTCGTGGGCATGATCATGTTTAATTTTTCCTCGTCTTCTTGTATTCTTTTAAATGTTTTATTGGAAGTTAGTCTCAGTTGCCCAAGAACAATTTCGTTTTTAGAACTAAGGTAAGTTTCCCAGAACAAAACTTACTGCTTAATATAGAAAACGATAGTGAAAATAGGTACTCAGTGCGAATTATGTCTTTTAAAAATATATAAAACATGTTCATTTACTATCCATCGTAAAAAAAAATATCGTTTTAAAGAATAATACTCTAATTTCATTTAATCATAGAATTCAACACTAAATATTATGTTTATATTAGAAATTATGGTGTAGTAAGCGAAACTTCATATTATGTAAACTTAATCATTACACGTTTGGTGAACAACCCTTTCCAAGAAGTCAACATTTTCACAGAACCACCATAACTAGGTATATTATTCTGATGGATCATAGGCTACATGTCGCAGATTAAATAAAATAATATTTTGTTAAATCTAAAGAAAAGTTTTAATTGAAAAACATCCACGCGGACCAGACATCAGACGGGACTCGAGCCCGCACCCTACGCAATCAGGGCGAATGCACTGACCAGTTATGCTACCGCGGCCCTGATGTCCGCGTCGAAATTTTCCTATCCTTAAGCTGCAAGGCAGCGCCATCTCTTCGCATTGTAGGTAACCCACAATGTCAAATGAATACTTTTTCAAGTATTAAATATTTGAAAGAAGAAATAGCATTTATAATTATGTTTTTTTTAAGCATTTAACTGCTACAGGTTTAAATCTAAAGGAAAGTTTTAATACAAAAAAATCCACGCGGACCAGGCAGCAGACGGGACTCGAACCCGCACCCTTCGTAATCCGGGCGAATGAACTGACCAATTTTTTTTCTATTAAAATTTTTCTTTAGCTTTAAACATCTAGCAGTTAAATGCTCGAAAAATAAAAAAAAAATAAAACAAATATTTTGTTAAGTTAATCTTTACACAAAACTCGTGAACTAATAATATCGGAAATTCTTCCTTTTCGGAGTTCTATAAAATGAATAGGTCTTACTTTTAAAAGCGGAATTAGACGGTTAATTTTTGCTTTCATTTTTGATGCGTAATCGATGAAAGATCGGAAATTGGATGTCTGTCTAAATGGACGTTCATCGAAATGTGCCTTCACGATGAAAACTTCCGGTTCCCGATTGTTTTCACAAGCGTCGATCATGCACCTGTCATATTTTCCTGGCAATGAACAACACGTGAAGCATCTAAACAGCGACAGCTTAAAAACATAGTTTTTTTTTTGACTGTCTATATTTAATCTTTTAATTTATTACTCAAAAAATAGATGATGTTCACGCGGGAATCCCAAATAGGAATGGAATATTAGCTTTCTTCAAAAATCATACGTCTATAAAAACAATGCATTTCACTGTATATCGTTCACAAATCATGGCAAAAATTAATAAATAGAAATAATACTTTTGATGAAGTAATTCCGCTTTTAAGATTGACTCGTTAATAACCTTTTTTCTCAAATTCACCTCTACTGATTTTATATATATAGACTATTTTTAGTTCTCTCATTTTGTCCTAATAGACGATTTAAATTCTCATTAAATTTTCATTAAAAACCTTTTATATCATCCTTATAATAATAAGATAAAAGGACATTGGGCAAATATGTATGGACGCTGGACACCCACGTCCGCCACTGCTTAAACTACATTTATTTGAAAGGTAATATAGTCATATAGTCCTGATCATCTGTGCCAAAGCGCATCAAATTCCATCCCGTGGGTCTTTAGTTATTTTAAGGTAAATAGGTACAAGTACTATAACGAACGAACATTAATGAAACAAGGGAATTAATTTAGTTAGTTAGTTCGACCCAACATAGGGGGCTTAGGTATTATGGGAGTACTTCACAAGGTGCAAGGTCCTTATGTTATTCTGCCGCGCTAGAGTAAATCCAAAAATCCCTGCATGGGTTGGAGTTTTTTTCAAGCATTCTGTTCGTTATAGTAAATTATCTTCTACGTATGTAAAACGGAGCGATCACAAATCACACAAACTTGTCCAATCTTCGGAGAAAACATGATTCTAGTTCATCCATAGTAATTGACAAAACCGATTATCGTGTTCCAATGTCCAAAGCGTGTTAGAAAAAAATCAATCAAGTGACAGGGAGCGCACAATCACAACAAAGTAAGACGAGTCGACTATTTGCAACTGCAAGTCCTTCAAACCACGTTTTGAAGTGTCTCAGTAAGTGCAAGCGCAGGATGGTCGACAGGCTTTGTCGTATATCTGGTTATATTGTACGATATGGCATATTATTATGGTTACTAATAATATAAAATGAGGAGGTACTATAAAATTAATTTATTTAGCTACTTAAATATGCCTATGTGTCTTATGCCTATGTGCCTATATATCTTTTGACCGCCAGGATATTTTTTTACGGTATCATACTTATCATTTGACTACCAGGTTATTTTTTTACGGTGTCATAATAAAAAAGGCTAGTTTTTCATAGATCTATCGATTCATACTAATTACATTGTTGGCGGAGCTGGGTTTGTTTTGCCCATTGTCCTTATCCAGAAACTTTTATCTGGGTCGAAAATAAAATTATTGGAGCACGCAGAGTTTGCATTCTATTCTATTCACTTGTGACAGGATAAAAACTATTGAAACATTTGAAGCTTTTACAAACAAAACGTTGTGATCAATCAAATTGCAACAGTTGGATGCTCTGTGTTTCCAATAATACAAAGAAAGTAAAGGTAATAATGGTTTAAAACAACAAAACATCATCATCACAAAGTCTCGTTTATTACTATTATATTACACTATCACTGGAACCGGATCTATCATTCTGAATCCGTCTAAATCGGCCATGTACTTAGAACTGTAGGTTTTGCCATCAGCCCCGATGTAGGACACTTCACCTTCTACAGCCATCACGTGGTCCCTGCCGTCGGCAGTCGGTATCAAATGTCCTCTTTCAGAGACGAATGTGCCTTCAGCCGTGTAGTACCGTAGAGCGTACTGACCGAAATCATCATGGACCTCCTCGTGATGAAGAGCTGGCAATCGCCTTACATCGGCGGAAGGAGCCGCCGAGGTGTAAGCGACGGCGAAGACGACAATAAGTGTCAGTACCTGGAATGTAAATAAAATTGACTTAATTTTTTATTTAACCATGTTTTACATGCCACTTTTATATAACAGACTGTTTAAAAACTATTTTGTTAAAAAAATCAAAAAGTACTTAGCTACATAATAGGGTATTTGACAAGTTTTAGAAAACGATCTCACATTATTGACTAATGTTTATGGAGTCCGTAAAAAGTGGATATTCATCATTCTGTTGTGTATTTCAGTAAAAAGACCCAAATCAAAAACTCCATTTTCAAGTTGCCGTGAAAACGTTTCTCTGAACAATATGGCGTTCACACAACTGTTATGAAAACGTCAAACGATACAATGTAATGTCAGTTTAACCGGAAGTTTACTTGCGTGTGACGTCATTTTAGTCACCGCCAATCCCAAGCGTTTTGGATCACGTGACAATAGATAACAAAACTATTCTCTGTTTCGTTAGTTTTTAGTAAAAAATGAATATTTTTTTGTAAAAATAGTGAAAACTCCTGCCTAAATTCATTCTAAACGCATTTGGCACTTTATTTTTAACACTGTCAAATACCCTTTTTAATATAATAACTTTTTGAATAATAATAATATATTACACTTTACATCAAAATAAGACTGAAGTATCAGATTAGTTGGATTGGGTCGCATAATGATTTCAAAAGAATTGAACAAAACAAATGATTTGTAACACGCTACCGCTTATTCTTAAATACATACTTTTCAATAATATATTTTATCTTGTATTTACTGCTTACCTTGTTCATTGTTGTTTTTCTTCGGACCCTTTGAAAGAAATGATGACTTTACGACTAGCAGTCAACCTTTAAATACATTTAATTTGAACTGTCTCTAACAGGTTAAGCTGTGATTATGGCCTAGACCCATTGACGTATCTGGACCCTACTAATTATCCTGCTAATTAGTTATTGTTAATTTTCATTGCCAAGTACACAGAATCCCGATTAACCTGTTCTAATAGAGTTTTAACAATTTACTATTATACGGGTATATATTGGCCTATTTTTTTAAGTAAAATCATTCAGTGGTAAACAACGATCTATCAAACATGGTAAGAAATAATTCGTCAAAGTAAAATTCATATAAATGTGCAAAGAATAAAACAGTCTAAGTTTTATTCTTTGCTCATTTATATCATATTTTTTTATATATTACAATTGTTTTTAATACGAAGAATTCGATTCCAGTTATGGAATAACTTTGTATTCGATTATAAATAAAAACCATATTTTTTTTAATAAATGTTATTAACATGCACAATTAATCATTAAAACAATATAAACTTCCACCCCGATAGAGGAGGGTACGGGTTCGAATCCCGTCTGTTGCCTGGACTGAGAGTATTTTTTCTATTAAAATTTTGTTTAAATTTATAAATCTAGCAGTAATATGCATGAAACAGAAATATATAAAACCACAATCTTAACTTACGAATGTATCATAAACTAATAAAATTCTTTCCTTTTTAGATACTGTCAGGAGCTTCTTTGTTCCTCTTAGGAACATTAGTGTCTGCCGGCCCGTTCCTTCCATCTATTCCAACGGAAATCGTTATAAGCAAACATAAACATGGATCACACGATAGAGCAAAGTTATTACCTTCTTCAAGTCGGTCATCAATTATAGAAAATTACATCCAAGAAGGAACTAATGTCTTTTTCAAACCACAGTTCATGCTATCGGCAGACAAAATGCCTCCACAAGTACAATCTTTGATCGCTGCTGTTAAAAATGATGATTGCAAAACAGATTACCCTTTAGTCGCTCCTGTGGTTGTTGACGAGCCTCTTCGTGTAGTAGAACAAGAGATCAGTGGACCATTTACAAAAATTGAACAGATAACTGAGATCAAGCCTGCAGAAGAAATTTCTTCATTACTAGAAGTATATCCAAAACCTGAATTAGTAACATTGGTCGAAGAAGTGAAACCATTGAGTATTCCGGAACCACCAAGACCTTTTATGTTTGAAATTCCCGAGAAAGTTTTTATGGAAATAGAAGAACCAAAGAAGCCAGTTGTGATTCCTCCTGCACCAGTATTACCACCAATGGAACTGCCAAAACTACCTACTTTGTTAGTAGAAACTCCAGTAGTAGCTGAAGAACCTGTTTACGTGGAGATAGAAGAAGCTAACAAAGTTGAAGTTCCAGTTGTGATCCCGCCCGCTCCTGTGCTACGCCCAATCGAGTTACCTGTATTGGAAAAAGAAGAATTAGTTGCAGAATTTCCATGTGAACATCAAATTCCCATCACTACTGTCGTAGAAATAGAGAAACCAGGGAAACTTCCTCTTCCGGTTGAAGTAACCATGGTTGAAGATAAAAATGAATACGAGGTACCGCTTATGATTCCCCCAGGTCCTGTTTTACCACCTCTTGAAAGACCAAACTTTGAAGTAATGGTAGAAGAAACTGTATTGCCATATGAGCATAATCCAGTGATTGTGGAAGTGGAGGAGTCAAAGGAAATCAAAGTTATTCCTCCTGGTCCTGTTTTACCTCCAATGGAAATACCGAAGTTACCCTTAGTGGTAGAAAATGTTCCAATAGATGCGGAGCTACCATGTGAACCACTTGTTCCAGTTGTTCCTCCTGTTTTTGTAGAGATGGAAGAACCAAATGTCATCATTGAAGAAACTGAAGTTGTTGGAAATCAAATGCAAAATATTCCACCTGCACCAGTTTTGGCGCCTTTGGAGATACCAAAATTGCCAATAATAGTAGAGGAAAAACACATTATTGAGTCTGAAAACAATGATATTCCATGCCCACCTGAACAACCAATATTAACACTACAGGAAATGCATCAACCCTTGTACATTGAACAAAACCGATTCTTTGTTCCTTCTTTAATGGCTCACATCGAAACATCAAAATTACCCATTGAAATTCCTTCTATACCACAGTATATTATTTCGTCAATACCAAATTTTGAGAGAAATAAAGACTGTGTTGATGATATAGTTATAGAACGCGTACTACCAAAAATGCGTAAAGATATGATATTTGAAAGACCAGTTCCACATTTAGTTCCTGTATTATAAGATATATCAATTGTAAAAATATAAGTTAATTATGTTATTAATATTTATAAATAACTTTAAGGCAATTAAGTAAATTATTTGGATACTATACTTTCTTCTTTATTTATTAATTAGATTTCATCGGCATAAACATTTTCTCTCTATTATGACAAAAAGAATCTCTAGATGAGAATGATAAAGTAACTGCATTATTTGGTTTATTTATCAGATGAGTTCGAATACCCAGCTCTCCACCCATCCAACCAATTTCAAACTCCCGTATCAGCTGAAAGAGAATTGGATTATTTACTATGAAAGAAATTCCTTATTACAATAGATAAGTCAATATAAGAATATTACCCGCATTATAGTAATACATATATTTTGTTCTGCAAGTCTTCTTGCAATACAAGAACGTGGACCAAAACCAAAAGGTAAAGATAAAAATGGGTGAATATTTTCGTATTCGGGAGAACTTCTCAGCCATCTTTCAGGCTTAAAGATTAAAGGGTTCTTGACATACTGGGGTAATCTTGAAGCTACCATGTTTTGAGTTACTATAACAGTCTGGAAATCAAATGTATATACTTGGTTAATAAAACTAAATATTTAATAAAAAGATTGTGCAAAGGCAAATGCTTGGTGCAGGAAAATAATAGGTTGGGGGAAAAGTCTTTTCGCATTATAGTATGTATGAACTCGTAATAAAATCTCTTTCTCTCTTTGGTTATACCTTTTGTATCTGGCTGGTTTTGATATCATCAAAAAGTTTAAATTTTAAACAAGATAATTCAAAATTCAAATTTAAAAAATGTGTTATTTTCATTTGTTTTTATAATTGTCAAGATCATGAATCTAATAAAGTAATTCGAAACATTTAAAATGTTACTACAAAAAAAGTAAAAATGCAATGCAAGCCCAAAAAAAAATGGTGATGTTTTATGATTTATATTATGGACTGCAGTGTCTGTGAGAGTAGCACAATATTTGGTTTAAGCATTTTCAATCCGCAAATTTTGATGTTAAAGATGCACGTCGCTCTCTTGATAAATTTGTGATTCTTTATTACGACGTAATAAAACCGAACACTTTTGAAGAAGCTGATAACTGGTGATGAAAATTGGATCACGTACGACAAGAAGGTGCGACAAAGGTCGTGGTCAAAGGCTGGTCAAGCTTCACAAACTCTGGCGGAACCCGGGTTAATTCGCAACAAGATGATGCTGTGTGTATGGTGGGATTGGAATGGGATTATTCATTATATGCTGTTACCGATAGGCAGGACCATCGATATTGAACTGTACTACGAACGACTGATGAGATTAATGCAAGAAGTTGAGAGAAAGCGGCCGGAATTAATCAACAATAGGGGTGTGGTTTTTCATCATGATAACGCTATATCTCATTATATATTTAGCCACTCAACAAAAATTAAAAGAGTTTGACTGGCATGTGCTAATATATCCGCCGTATAATCCTGACCTTGCATCTTCAGATTTTCATCTGGTTCGGTCTTTTCAGAATTCTTTACGCAGTGTCAGGTCAAACATCACGAGAGGACTGCCAAAACCACTTGCCGCGGTTTTTTTATCAGAAGCCCCAAAATTCCTAGCAATGTACAAGATGGCAAAAAGATATCGAACAAAATGGCACCTACATGATTTAGTTAAATTTAAATAAACTTTATTAAAAAATGATTTGAATTTTCATATAAAATGCGAAGAAACTTTTTCTCCAACCAAATATGAACAAAAATGTGAATTATATAATTTATATACAGTCCTGTAATTATATATTCCTATATACCTTTATTATAAAAATATGTTTTTATTACTTACATCCTTAGGAATGAGATATCCTTTGAGAGCAATGTCCTTTTGTAAAACCCTTCCTACTCCAATAGCGACAGGGTTCAATCTCAAGCTTTCCTTTACACAACATCGTGTGTAATTTGCTTTTGCTACAATTTCAGGCGTTATATTGGAATCTTTGCATGCTAACAGACTTAAAATTTCCTTATAGACCCGGTCCTGACATTCCTTATTTCGCGCTAAATGATATAATACAAAACTTGTTGAGAACGCAGTCTGAAATCAACGAAATCATATAAAATTTAAGTAATAAAATCATCCAACAAACATTTACACATACTTACTGTATCAATGGCAGCCATCAGGATGTCTACCATCATTCCTGTGATATCCTTCATATCAATATTTGGCTCATTTAAGAAAGATTTTAATAAACAGTTGTCTTGTCCTTCCTCTTTCTGTTTGTAAAACGATATTCGCTTGATTAAAATGTCTTTTGCCACCCTGAAAATTAAGAATAATAAAGTTGTTCACTTTTTCATCAAAGAATCGGATTCCTCGAAGGACTCTTCAAAAGAAATTATGAGATAGATATACTAAGTTGCCATGTTTTGACGAGGGGTTTATTTGATTGTTAATATCATTCTATGCAATTTACATGTTATAAAAAAAAACGATTTCTTTTAATTTATAATGGAATCTTTTAATAATAAAAGTCTAAAAATCGTAATATCAACCAATTTAAAACGTAAGATTTAATTGAAAATTTGCTTAGGTATATAGGATCTGTAATCATTTAAGGTAATAAATTGTAAAACATCAAACTATAGATTTAATTGTGTTTGCTTCATCTATTAGTAAGTATTTAACGAAATCTTTGGACGCAAGTTTGCGCTCACTTCTAAACCTCAAAGTGAATTGAAATTGCATTTATCAAGAATGATGTTATGACACTACTATTCCATATTCTATCATAATTTAATTTTTAAAAAATCTAGCACACAAGTACGGTTTAACAGCAGATCGAACTAAAAAGACAAAAATAAACTAAAGCATCAGTTACATTCATTATTTAAATTTCAGTTAAATTCGATTTATTAACTCTATCTTGACATAAGTTTATAAATAGTATCCTTTAATGAGCTCGATGGTACAGTGGCCAATGCGTTCGGCCTGCCATCGTAGACGTAAGTATTACATAAAATATCACCAAGCCAAAGCTTTATAGTACATATCTCGTGCTCCTCCTCTATCAATCCCGGTTACCTACATTTTAATAGTTATTATCACTCGCCAATACTCACTAGTCCCGAGGAGTAATAGATATAGATCCCATTAAGCTATTTCTTAAGGAAGGCCTTATGTCCATTCCCAAGCAATAGGGATATCATTTTCTAATATTTTTTTTATGTTAAAAGGGTGACAAACAACCTTATGGTCTGCTTGCACAGTCTATAGACGCTTTGCGATACTAACGCTGTCACTCGCGCCGTTGAATACCCAGGACCCAATCCCCTTCCCCGTGGAGCCCTGGAACCATACTCATCGTCAGAAAAACAACATCACCATAAGGTAGTATTATTTTACTATGGTCTTCTGTAAGGTAGAGGTCTCTTCAGTGCTGCCATTTTAGCGCTTTGGCCGCTAGATCTAGCGCTTTTCTGGTGTGGTCAGCGCCTATCGGATAATTTGGCGCTTTTTTCATTTATGTCATTGTAACACTCTATTACCGATATTTTATGGGCCCTAATATTTTTTATGGCAGAACTACATTTTTTCATTTTCATTTTCACCTGTGTGTCGCGATCAAATGAAATGAAATGAAAAGTCATTTATTCAGTCTAGGCTGTTACAAGCACTTGTGAAGGTCAAGAAGCTACGCCATCGGTTCGCAAAACTACGGCGGGAGACCTTGTACTGAGAAGAACCGGCAAGAAACTCAGCAAGGGCTGCTTTTTTCTCCCTGTATTGATATATACAGAGTCGTCAAGTTGAAAAATGACTTCAGAGATACTTCTGAAGTCACCTTCCATTACATTATTTAGGATATAGATATATAGTTACAATAAAATTTATATTTAGTATATAGGAAGCGGCATTAGATAGGTACCATATTACTATTACAAAAACTGACTCATACCCATCAAATAACAAATTACAAGAAACACTATGTCCATGTATGATGTGTCGACACCATTCTCACTCTAACCGTTCTACTAAATGAATGAAACCGATATATCTCTGATGCGTCACAAAACAACACGGCGGACAGATACGTAGTAATATTTCTGCCATTGATTGGTTGCCGTGGTTTTGTTTTCATTCATTCATATTTAAATTTGGTGAAAGTTGAAAAGAAATCATGTAGTTTAGACAATCTGCAACAGATTAGGATTGAAACATATGAAAAATATTTTAAGACAAAATATATATAAATGGCTAGAATGAAGCTGGCCCTATTTAAGCTATGGCAGCTAATTTATTTTGACGTTTCGGTTGATTTTTGTCTGTTTTTTTTTTAATAAAGAAAACAAAAAATGATGTAGCGCATAATCTAGCGCTTTTTTAAAATGCGTTTTTCTTGAAATCTTTTTATATCATTTTAGCGCTCAATCGGATTTTTGATCTGGCAGCTCTGGGTCTCTTTCCCAGGCGGGCACTCCAATCCGAGCGGTAAGTCTTCTATGCTCTACCTCTCTTATGACACGGCTTATGATCTACAAAAATATTTTGTACCTACTTTTCCAAATACTCCTGCGATTCCACAAGCTTCTTGTATAAAGGCGTATTTACGAATTTCCATAGAAATCCTTTGTCAAGCTTCATGATGCCATGGTTGGAACCAAATGCTGCAGCTATTGTTTTACTACTTCTAGAATCTTTATTTTGCTCAAGAGTCGTAAAACTATCAAATGTTTCATTGAACGCTACAACACCAACAACTGTAAAAGTAGAATAAGTAGTTATTATTTATCTGGTTTAATATCATTGATGAAATCGGAAAAAGGTAGATAAAGCTGTTGAGATATCTTATAATAGGGATTATTACTACAGCCTTGTATTATTATATGACTGAAAGCGGAGCTGCAACTTATGGAAGAAGATAAAATTACAAAGATTGCCACATGAGGCTGCTACCTATATAAATATCTTAGTTAGCCTAAATTCATATTAGTTCTAATTACAATAGAGAAACTTAACATTTTTTTTTTAATAATATTGCCTGATCAAAATTTTTGGAACGAAGTTCCTTACGGCAGGCTTGGAGGGGATAGGGATTTTGCTGCGCGACCGAACTGAAAAAATGTGATAGTAAAACAGGGTAAGAAAAAATCCGTGGAAAAAAGTGCGTGGAATAAAACCGTTAAATGAGACGTGCGCAGGCGCGACAGTCAGTCGATTCTACATTAGCCGAAGGAACTTCGTTCCTACCTGGTGTCCCACGACACCACATCATTTTCTTTTTAATTAGTTAACATATTTAAAAACTACTTCAAAAACTAAATTTAACCTACTTAGTAAGTAATTCTACAAACTTATTTAACAGACGTATTCTAAAAACAGAGTCATTTTTGAAGAAACAAAAAAAAATATGATTAAACGTACTTTCTAAATTTAATCTGTTTAAGTACTTCAAAAAGTCGTCGCCGTTGCAATAAGTTTCCTTTATTGCTTTAACAAGTTTTCGTACAATTTGATCTGTGTTCTCGACGTGCACCTTAACACTTTTTGGGGAAGTGAAATTTTTCTGGAACGTGCTTCGAAGTTTCCACCATTCTTCTCCATTACTTAAATGAAATATACTTAGTTATTAAAAACTGAATTTTGCGTAAAGCGCTAATTTACTAAAGCAACTCTATTATAGATACGACCCCGACCTTGCTTGAAAAGAAACTGATAGTAAAATTACAAATTGATATCTGCATCCCCAGACCGATAGCTAAATCTCGTCAAAGGATATGGTAATTTTGAAGACCAATGTAGGTGACTCATTACTAATTATAATCACTAAGCGCGTTCTATCGTCTGTACCACGGTAAGTGTCCTGAAGAGTTATTCTCTCTTATTCCACCTTCACCTTTCCTTTAGAGAACCACGCACGCTGGCCTTCGTTGTCACCGTCTAACTGTGGCCACAATTCCAACGCATACAAAGTAATTTGGTGATTTATTTCTTTGTCGCACTATCCGTAAATGGTATGCTCTGCCTGCTCACGTGTTCCCTCCTTCTACAAGCTGGGATCCTTTAAAAGCGGCGTGAGAGAAACATGCAGGCCGGCAAGGTGAGGATGGCTGGTGTGGCAGATAGAACTGCGGTACCAACTATCTTCATGTCTGGCCTTCACCATCACTTAACATCAGGTGGGATGGAGTCATTTATCGGACCTATCTATAAAAAACGACGGGTTGCACTCCGGGCCGTGCCGGCAGAAGTGAAGACTTGAATATTAACGTTGTGCATTTTTGATATTTTTGAATGATTAGGGAATAATTTTAAACGAATTGCTATAATTATCAGTATAAAGCGCTATCGTACATAAATATGACAATTTATATTAAATTAAAAAAGTTTATCTCCCAGAAAAATCAACTTACATAAATCACGTTTAAGCGCACTTAGCGACATCTATTGTAAAAAAAACAACTTACATGAATCATATTTAAGCGCACCTAGCGACATCTATTGAAAAAAAATGCATTTTCTTCGCAATAAAGCTGCCACCTGGACGTCCTAGATAGAGACTTATTATTGAATTATATTGAAAGTCAACAACCTTTCCAATTTTATTGTTTTCGTCAGATCGCCGATCAGGCCACGTGTCATGACGCGATCAGCTCACGAGTTTAACATTTTTTACTCATACAAAAAAAAAAGTGTACAACGCCGCTAAAGAAGTTTTCACTTCAAATATATATATATATATATATATATAGGATTGTGGTGATGATGTGAAAAACCACCGGTTAGTTATGAAATGGACAGACAGATTACATTATGAACCCTACTGAAATATCATCAAAGCGTTATCGTATCGCCAACTCCTTTTTAACTAGAATTATTTTGGTCACATAGAGCTTTCAGACTTCTTAAATAAATCGATCCATGATGACATAGATGTTACCGCAAAATGTTAAGTACAAGGTAATATTTAAATACACCTAGCATACTAACATCAGTATGATATAAAGGACAAGAAGAGAAAAAAAGACGATTTTCACCTGGCGTGACCTAACAGCCAGCACTTACTTCCTCAGACCTAACTTAGGGACCGCTGGTTCAATTGTATGTATAATTATTGTTGGAATTTGTAAATACTCAATGACTGTAATAGCTTCAGAAGCCAGATTCGCTCAGTGTTGACGCACATATTCGGCATAGCTTGAAAATTTTACGTTTGTTGTCCTTTCTGTGTTTTCACGCATATATGACGCGGCCACTAAAGTGTATATTATATGTACCTATGTATTATTTCACCATACAGATATAAAATACCTGTTGTTGTATGAATGTTTGTTTCAATAAAATATAATAACTAAAAAAATAGGTACGTGGATAGAAGGCCGCCGGTATTATACACATTCCGTTTATTCGTACGATAGTTGAACATGGCGAGGTGGCTTCGTCGGACAGGATACCGGTCATCGTGGCGGAAGATTGCTTCGATGTCTTCAGGGTCAAACAGGTGAAGGAGACGCACACCTGGATGCTCTCGCACGAGTGGTCCGTACCGACGCCAATTCAACATGGCGTTCTTGTCCATTGCCTCAGCGTCATAGTCACCTTACCAAAAATATTCCACAAATTAAGGCTGATTTACACTTCGGCAAGTACAGTAGCGAGTTTAGAAATCGGAGAGTTAAGCTGTATGTACGAACCCCGGTGGGGGCAGATGTGTGTGTGATGATTACGAGCATTTGTACTATATATGTATTACTATATATTCCAGTATATGTATTCTATCCGTTACCCTAGTATACCTTAACACAAGCCAGTGCTTACTTTGGGGCTAGGCTAATTGGTGTGAGTGTTGGAAACTATTATTTATTAAAAAAAACTGGCAAATCACTTTTGTTCAAACGTACGCATGTGCTACAGATATTAAATAACGTTAGGTATAAGATCACTTTAACTATGGATACGTACTTATATAATACATAAATATAACCATAACTTAAGAGCAAATACTTGTGCTCATTCATTATACAAATGATGCCCCACCCGGGATTCGAACCCAGGAATTTCGGAGAAGGCAGTTGCGTTGTCGTTGCACCAAACGATCATCAAATTATATTCAACTACATAACCCATTTTTTTATTTTTAGAAAAAGATCATTCATATAGATACCACCAAATTTTAATAATGCATAGGACAGAGGAAACCTAGTCGTCTATAACCATCAAAATAGAGCAACACGGATGCGTCTATCAATAATAATAATAATCTTTATTTGTTCTTCCACAATCTACAAATTACATGACAACTTATTATACTATAATTTTATTACAGAACAATAAAATCAGATGATCAATCAATCAATCAATCAAGATGAATAGCTGAGTGAAGTCTATAATTTATTTTAATAATATTTATTTAGTTTAAAAATAAAAGTAAATTATTATATTCATATGAAAGTTACTATTACTAAACTTCGTTATATAAAACCAATTGTGATAAATGATATTTTGCGTAGGACCAGGTACGGATCTACAGGTTAGCGGCCAAGTAAAACCGTGTACTAAAATAATGTTGATATACCCAAAGCCCAAAACACAAATGCTTACTTACGTATTCATAACCAAAAATTCAAATAATAAATAAGATATTGCAAACAATTTTTATTAGTAATATAAAAGTATATTTTAACGGTACTTTTCTAATTATTTCATTTAAAATTCAAAAAGGAATAGAAAAAACTTAATAACTCACCTATAAATGGCAGATACTGGTGTAATGTCCCTATAAGAGGGTAACATTTCGGGCCAGGTATATCATGGAATCTCTTCAGACAGACAACTTCATTTTTATTTATTGCGTGTTCATATCGGGCACAAATCTTGTTTCCTAATATTGCATGATAGTTATTAAAAATGTTTCGTTTGTTTCTTAAAATTATAATCATAGTTGACATGACTTATGGTCACGAGCAAACTGTATAAAGCTTAATATGCCACTGAGCTCAAGTTACAGCGTCGCCGGAACAGTGGCAAATTATGCACAACACAAAAAATAAAAAAGCAGTCCCCCTTAAATCTAAAGGCGATACCTACCTGCGTAGTATAAAATATGGACTGTATAATTAAAACACGAATAAGATAAATGGAGGGATAATGTGAGCCGTTCTTAGAATATTGTCCAGAATTATTTCAGTACCAGAGCTCTTAAAATTCTATATTTACTAATAAGTCACTCGTCTAAACTAGGAGTTCTAGGCCTCTGAGGTCATGAAGGAATCGCAAATAACAAAATTAAATAATGAAACTGGAGCCCGTCGGTTTTAGAAAACAAAAAATTAATACATTTATAACTTTTATATTGACGATGTTTTTTTGACATAAAAAAGTATGTTTTATATCAAGAAATACGTTTAAATAAACACTTAGGTATATATCATATATAGATTTTGGTTTTGTATATCCTTGTTCTTGGACGATTAGGTACCACTTTACGATTTTGGGTATCAAAAGAAAAAAACGCTACTGTTAGAGCGTCACATTGTTGTCCGTCGTACGGCTGATCATTTGTCAAGTCCTTTTTTCTACGACAGGTAGAATACGTGGAACAGTAGACATCCAATACTTGGAACAGTGAAAAACTTTAACTTAAGTCAACCCAATTAAAAGATATGGCAATGTGATAAATTGCACGGGAATCTAGAGTAATGAAATATGGCAAGAAGCAATGGCTATGTAACCCATCTAAAAAAATATCCACAGGTTTTATGTTACTTACATTACATACATAAAAATGTAAAATGAGTTGTATTAAAACGAGTGACTGTACATTAAAATGTTAAGTGACAAAAATCATTAATTTGGGTTACTGAATTACTAAGTGAACGACTGACTTCGAGGTCCGCGAGTGACTAGACATTACAAATATGAATCTAGCCTGGCCCTGTGCTTTAAATGCCAATATACTCGTATCTTGCTCGATCGCTGGCGCGTGTTATTCACGTGTTCGGACTGCCATTGTGGAAGATACAACTGCAACTATGGCCCACTATGGCCGGTCTTAGGATGGGTGATCAAAAATGTATTATTCCCTGCTGCATCTGAAATCCTTATTCCATTCATAAAAAAGGCCTGTGCTCTAACTGTAATAGGTTGATGATGATGATGAACACAGTAAAGAGGTCAGCATCAGCTAAGCACCATCGAGCAAATTCCTGCGCCACCAAATACCAGCAACGTCAAGTAAGTAAAAAGGAAAGGTTCCCAATTTGCAAAAGAATAGTTTTAAGGGATTTAGTTCGTATTTTCTTATTTATTTTAGTGGAATAAAACCGTTAAATGAGACGTGCGCAGGCGCGACAGTCGCATACACAAGCGAGTAGTGTATAATACCTTGGAAGGGATAGGGATTTTGCTGCGCGACCGAACTGAAAAAAATGTGATAGTAAAACCGTAAGAAAAAATCCGTGGAAAAAAGTGCGTGGAATAAAACCGTTAAATGAGACGTGCGCAGGCGCAACAGTCGCATACACAAGCGAGTTTGCAATTTGTGTCGATTCTACATTAGCCGAAGGAACTTCGTTCCTACCTGGTGCCCCACGACACCACATCATTTTTATTTCATTATTTTGGTTTCCTTGCCTTTTGTGGCCAATGCACAAACCGTGCGAGCCATTATATATTTTTTTATATTATTTTCTTGTATGTGAACTAGTGATAAGTTTTTGTTTTTCTAAAGCAAATTTCGTGTACATGTTGATAAAAAAAAATGGGTGCGTGTACTTATGTAGGCGCGTGAAAAGTTATCCTTCTTTGGCATCGTTTAAAATTAGTTTTTAATTGCATGCAAATAATTAATTACAATAAATTAATAAAAAGTCTGGAAAAGGACACAGTCAATAAAGTTCAGTTTTAATTTGAAAAAATAAATAAATAATCAAAATATTCAATTAAAATCGCTACTGAATATAATTTATTAGAACAGTTGTGATTTGCACTTGTATGAAACTCAAACACGTATTCCGAATATACAAACTAGAAACATGTGGATAAATACACACATCAAAAGTGTCTAGGGATCAACATATATTTTTGCAATAACTTTTCTCCTGATTGATATTAATTAAAATTTTCTTTAAGGATTCATCAAATAAAGTGTTTTCTTTTGTCACAGTAACGATAAACCAAGTCACCTTTGCATTAATAAAGAAATTTGCCATTTTCCTAATAAAGGGATTTTTGACATTTGAACCACTAACACAAAAGTTCGAAAAAAAGACTGAAATAACAGTTTTCTCTAAAATTTTATTGGGTAACTTAAACAATTAATAATCCGTATTTCTACCGCGAACACTAACAACACAAGAACATCGGTTTGGCATACTCAAAATGAGTTCATCCAAATCACGCTGTGGAATGGCCGCCCATGTTCGTTGCAACAACAAAAAAAGGTCTTCTTGCGACTGGATACCCTCCATATTCGGCAGAGCTCTTCTCTGTAGCATATCCCATGCATGCTCAATCAGGTTCAAGTCTGGCGACTGAGCAGGCCAGGGCAGGACATTGATGTTAGCTGCGGCGAGAGTCTGTCTTACAACTCTTGCGGTGTGCGGTCGTGCATTATCATGCATTAACTGAAATAAGGGACCGATTTGCACTTGTAGAGGAACGATGACGTCTGATACAATCGTCTCAGCATAAATTTGAGCGTTGAGGTTGCCTCTGATCCAAATCAACTCAGTTCTTCCGCCGATCCAAATACCCGCCCATACCATGATGGTTCCACCACTATAAGGATGGACTTCCTGGCAGGATTTTAATCGCTGTTGGCGTCCAGGGGTTCTCCAGTGTCGTATACGTCTTGTATCCGGTCTCATACCAAAACGAGACTCATCAGAAAAGCACACGAAACGCCATTGTTCTTCTGCCCAATTTCTGTGTTCAAGAGCCCATTGATATCGAATCCTACGATTGTGCATTGCTATAGGTGGTACCCGTAGCGGTCTTCGGGAATGAAGGTTCACTTCATGCAAGCGGTTTCTGACTGTTTGGTCGCTAATTAAGTTCCCTGAAGAGTGATGAAGCCTCACGGCTAACATCATGGCGGTTATTGTTGGAGCTCTTCGAGTTAAGATTTGAATGTATCGGTCTTGTCTCCGTGTGGTGCAGCGATACCGTCCTCCATGGCGCTCAGCCACGGTACCAGTGCTTCGGTATCGTGTCCAAAGTCGACTGATAACACTCTGACTTGTATTCAGAGCTAAAGCCACAGTACGTTGCCGGGAACCAGCTTCTATCATTCCCACGGCTCTGAGCATTTCTTCCCTGCTTAAATGACGTCGCCGCTCCATAATAACGTTGGTTTTAATCAGTAGTAGGGAAACAGTAGCACTAATAATGTCTTCAATGCGTTGTATGTTTTTATAGGGAAAATATTGACAGCTGATTTTCATCTTTTACTCGAATTTGATTCACAGTTCCTGATTCAAATTATGAAATGCACCAAAAAGGATCCATATAAATTTATAAAATCATAAATTTATTACAAAGCCACATCTCAATCTCAAGAAATCCGCATAAAAATGCTTGATCCCTAGACACTTTTGATGTGTGTATTATAAATATGAATACCTATAACTGTTACTTTATTACAAAAAATAAAGATGTGGTTTTTGGTTCTACTACACCAATGGTCAAGAGATGGCGCTGTAGTCTCCTGAATCGCGCTTTGGTTCCGTTGTTCCAGATTTATAAATACTTTTGATATTATAAATATGAATACCTATAACTGTTACTTTATTACAAAAAATAAAGATGTGGTTTTTGGTTCTACTACACCAATGGTCAAGAGATGGCGCTGTAGTCTCCTGAATCGCGCTTTGGTTCCGTTGTTCCAGATTAATAAATACTTTTGATAGGCCTTCACAATGCAGTCGTTAGCACCCACTAAATAGAGATTCTATTTTGTTGGTAGATTTTCTTAATGTGCGGTAAACACAAAAGTAACGCATGAAGTTGGTCGCTAAAGCGACCAACTTCATGCTGTTAAAATTTTGTGTTACAGTGATGCGCGCGCATCTTAAAATTTCACTCTCATCATTTTTTCATAACGCGCCTAAAGAAGTATAACTTCAAAAACTGTTTATCAAAATTGTAAATACTTTTCATTTTATAGACATAAAACTGAGATGACTGATTTGTAGGCGATTTTTAAATGCCTCGTTGTAAGTTCTTGAAACTAAAAAATGGACAAACGTTGTTCATGACAATCTTGGTTGTAATGTTATCTTTACACTCCGAGCTAATCGTAAACATAAATCACAGCCATTCAGACGCCCGTTTAATCCTTATCGCCGGCACTTGAAATACGAGCTTTGTTATTTCTAACGCGTGTTTGTTTACGTATCTGGAGCGTGGATTGTGAGAGCTGTAGTGTAAAATTAAATTGTGGGAGTATGGTATTTTATGATTTTATTTGGTAAGTTATAATAAAATGTGCAAATAACCAAAAAATCTGGACATGAAATTTTGAAATTTTGAAAATATACTCCATTTTACCCATCTAAACGCCTTTTTTTTATCTTTCCCGAGTTTACCGTAACGTAATTAAAATAGATTATAGACATGACGCACTGTTTCGATACTGTTTTAAAGTAAATTTTATGAAGAATCCAAATATATATAGTTTGTGTAGGGTATTCTTACAACATAACAGAGAAATCGGCAAAGCAATGAAGAAGAAAGAAGAAAGAAAGAAATTTTATTGACCATAACTAAACTATTTACAGTATTTTTATATAAATATATAATATATATTATCAGTATTTTTAACCTAAAATAAGAACAATTAAAAAAATATATATATTTTTTGGTCAACTAGGTCCCTGCCTCAGCTTGATACTGCAGCAACACCAGGGCTGCTGCAGCGCTGGTGATTCTGGCAGGGCCTAAGGTTGATGACACAGATGAGACATTATAATACAACCATACCAATG